AGTTCCTCAGAACCTGGTCTTCATAGTCTGTTGACATAGTTCAGAGTTGATTTGAGTGCATGGCTTTAGAGCATAACAACTTCTAAAGCTTCAGAGTAGTAAAGCCTTGGATAAGTAGATATCAGAAGCGTTGAGTACAGAATCTAGATCTTGATCAACTTTGTAAACACATAACTCAAAATCAGAGTGCACTAGTTTCAGAGTCTGATGACGTTACAAGTCATATAGTCAGAGTCAGAAATAGAATGTGAAATATGCACACTGAGCAAAATTATTAGGGTACAAAATTATTCTCTAAAACACTATGTATTGTTATCGTAAAAACATAAGGTCATATGCAGAACCAAATTCTTTTCTAACAATCTCTCCCTTTTTTATGATTACAAAACCATATATTTTGATGAACAAGTTTTACATGGTTTAATCACATAAAATTATCAGAGCTTAGAACTTCAGAGTTAGGTTTGCAAGCTCCCCTGAGTTTAAGAATTAAAATAATCTTAACAAATAAAATGTCTTAATCAACATAAAATAAATAACTTCCTTGAAAAAAGAAGCCTGATTGCAAAAGTCTTTAGAATTGACTTGGCTTCAAAGTATTAGAAAGTCTAGTTATGTTTATTCTTGAGATAGATGCTTGGTTAACTCATATGAACTTGGTTAACATCTTCTGACCAAGGTTTTTAACTTCTGGATAACCTGGTTAACTTGTTTGAATAAAAAAAAGTTGTAAATATGGTGAACTTATTCAGATTTCCCATATCAGTTATCAGAGTCAGAAATTAGAAAACTCGGAATTAGAAAACTCATAATCAAATGTTTGGGTGTCCAGAGGAAAATAAGTATATCAAAATCATATCCACTCTTCTCCCCCCTTTCTCATCAATCAAAAAGATAAATATAAATAAAATAGACAAAGTAAAAGACACAGAAACCTCATGTCATTGAAAATGCAAAAAGTATATAAGCAAATGCAGAAATAATAAAAACTTAAGTAAAAACTAGAAAGCAACAAGTTTTAAAAAAAGGTTTCTAAGATGGGGGTGGCAGCCTTGACAGAATAACTTGAAGCATCCCTTCAATCTTGGTGTTAGTTTCAGTATGTTCCTTGAACATTTCGTCTTGCTTGTTCAGGCGTGATCTAACAGCTTGATTTTCAGCTTTCAACTCTTGAAGAGTCTTCAGCATCAAAGAAGGTTCAGAGTCAAAATCTTCAGCTTCCACAATAGTCTTGATCCCAGAAATGGTTTCCATATCAGTGTTTGGAGGAGGGTGAGGACATTAGTTTTCATATTAGCATCAGCTTTTTCCAAAATTTTAGACTCAGGAGTGGGGGAGGCTTTTGAGTGAACATCTCCACAAGAAGCTCAATAAATCCAACCGACTTATCATGAAACCTCTTCTTAACAGCCTTGTAGCTGAGTTCCTTCATATACTAGGAGAGGGAATTCATCCACCTTTTGAATTCAAACCATACAGAATCACTCTGAGCTGGGTTGAAGCACTAAGTATACTCTTCCATCAGAGAGTGAAAACGCTCATTTGCTTCTTCCTTAAACTGCATAACTAGAATGTCTACTTCCTCAGGGTCAATGATGGGTTCTGGTTCAGGTTCAGTTTCATGGTCAGAGGAGATGTGAATGGTTTGATCATAAGAGTCGGGAGTTGATGGTTCATTGTTTCTGAGGCGTTCCCAGAAAGTGCCAATGACAGGTTCGTCAATTAGGTTTGGTTAAGGAGGTGGAGTTAGTGCAGTTGGGGTGTCTTATAGAAAGGCACAGGCTTCTGGAGTTAGTGGGGTTCATAAATTTCTACACATAATAAGAATAAGGATTAGTTAAATATTTTTGTAACAAAGTTGTGAACATTTTCGGATTTGAAGATCAATTAAAGATTAAGGTTTCAAACAAAAACTAAAGTTTGAGAATTCCCTACTCACAATCAAAGCACATATAACATGAGCAAATTTTAAGTACATTTGTAAAATGAACTTTTCTAAACATATCAAAATTCAATTTTTTAGGAGGAAAAGAGGATTTTAACATAAATCTTGTTTTCAGAACACAATAACACAAAATTCGGAAGTTTAAAAATGAGGATACTCACCATGAGGAAAGATGAACCTACAACTTGCTGAGAAGAAATGGCACGGTGGTGACGATTTCCGGCTCAGTGACTCAACCAAAATAGTGTCGACAAAATGAAATAACAAAGAGAAAAAGGAACATCTCAATACAAGGGAGAAGAAAAGTGAAAGAATAAGAACATAAGTAATGGTGGTCGAAAACTCACAGTCACAACGAGGTTGTTTGAAACAACAATCTAACCGGTCCATTACACAGGCCACGCGACGAGATGCACAAAAAAGACCTATTCTTTTCGCTTGGAGGCGTGGTGGCCAGAGACAGAGCGATGGTGGCCCACGACAACTTTGCTTAAAAAAAGTATATATTGAGTTCATTAGAAAGGTCTCGTACTGAGGAGTTCAAATATGGTATTGGTTTTTTCATTGGGGGTGGTGGTTGCAGGAGGTAGAAGAAAGAAGAACGACGATAAAGGTTATAAGGGTTAAGATTTGAAAGAAAAGAGTGATAAGAAAACACGTTTGACTGAGAGAGAAGGAAATGAGTTCATTTAACCATTTAATTTTTTTAAGGCAATTTAACTATTTAATTTAATTTCTATAACTATGATTAAAATATAATTTATAAAATTAATGGACTTCAAATAATTATTAGTATTACATTTTGCATAATTATCAGTAATTCATATCTAAGTGGTAACGGGTAATTGTTTGAATCCACCGTGTTCATAAATTTAATATATATCTTATTAAGATGGTTTAGAACTGTTGTAACAAATAACGACAATTTTAAAACAATGTAAAAAATATTATTTATCTGTAAATAAAGAGACTGTTGAACAAAACCGACTAGGATGATGGTTTTAATACAATTGTTGAAATTTATGTGTTGATTTTTTATTTTATTTTATAGTAAATTAATGGGTGATATGTGTTCTATCAAATCATATTTTAATTTTAAAAATAATTTAATAACATAATAATTTATTGATATTTTTATTAAAGAACAATTGTAAAACTATTCATCACACTTTTAAAATGAATTAACTTATTATATAGTATATTACTTCTAAGTCACTAACTAATTTATTAATAATTCATCAGTTTCTTTATCAGATCAATTAAAATTTGATGGGATACTTTTCAAACTTTTTTAATATAAAACTTTTTATATTTATCTTTTATAATATGTAATGTTCTATCCATATTTATTATTTTAATCTATTTTGTAAATTATTATTTTTATTTTCTTTTCTATATATTAATTATTATTTTTAACTCTTTTTGTGTATCCACTTTTTTTAAAATCTAAAATACATTATATTATATTTTATTCAATAAAAATTAAAATAAAATACTTTTTTTTATAAAAAAGGTTTTAAAACCATAATTAAAAAAGAGAATTATATTACATAAAATAAAATGGTTAAATAATACATAAAATATATATTAATAATAATTGTATTTACATATTACCTTTCATGTCACATCGATTAAAATTTAAACTGAAATTCTTTAAAAAGTTTTAAATATAAATTTTTTAATCTTTATCTTACTATAATGTGTAACGTTCCATTCATACCATTATATATATTCCACCAATCATTTTTATATTTTTGTTTTTTTTATATTAATCAGTAATTTTTTTATCTATTCACTTTTTTCAAACCTAAAATACATTATATACTATTTTACTCCATAAAAATTATAAATAAGATATTTTTTTAGAGAAAAAGTTTTCAAACAATAGTAAAAAAAAAGCATTACATACTTAAAATAAAATGGTTAAATAATAGTTTTAAATTTGACTTATAATTTCAAAATAGACAAAAAAAAGTGTCACGTGTTTTCTAAAATATATATCAAATACATATTAAATTGTAGTTACATATTAAAATTTTAACTTTGAATATAAAATTAAACGATAATTTCTCATCCAATTTACATATAAATGTGGTTAAATTAAAAATAATTAACATAGAAAGACATTTCAATTGAATTAAATCAATTGTATATATTAAAAATTAATGAAATAATGAAAGACAAACACACAAAAATAATATTTTTGAATTTTATTCCACCTAATTGATCATTTAACTCATTACATATTCAACAATCATACTCATTTCACGGTCAAACTACAAAGATTTTGCAGAAATCCAAATTTCATGTTAGATCTAATTTCAATTGTGATAATTAGTTATATACGTAATGAATCGTTTAATGTGTAATATATTCAATACATATAATAATGAATAGACATTTTTAAAGATGTTGAACAAGTGAAAATTAAAGCAATAAAAAACTACATAAATTTTATACACTCATTTTATCGTTTCCATTTTAATTTTGATATCTTTTCTTATATTTCCATAATTATAACATTTTTTTTCATTTAAAATTGTAAATTTTTTAATCCTATAAAAAGCTTTTTATACTAAACAAAATTAATATGTATTTAAATAATTCATCTCAATGCTGTGCATTATTGACTTTAATCTAGTTGAAAATTAATTCCATAATCTATTAGTGGAGTTTTGAAGTATCACTCATCCAATTTAACAAACGGTCGTTATAATTACAACAAACACAAAATGAAAAAAAAAAAACTTTAAATAGTAAATAAAATCCTCTTAAAAAAAGTTTAATAAACATAACATAGAGTGAGAAAAAAAAAGATACATCTAAGTCAACAAGTATATGATTTTGATTTGACAAGTAGTAAGTAACTTGTGAAGTGAAAAAGCTTTTGAAACTATCACACTTTTGGAATTTAATGCTCTCTATCTTCAGCAACACAAGTGTTTTTCCTTATTTAGGGGTTTGTCTCAGATTTTGTGTCTATTTTTACTGTCCTTCATTTCCATTTTCACTGTGTTTCAGCTTTCAACCATTTTCATATCAGATTCTGTTTGAAATGGGAGGAAGAGAAGGAGTGTGCAGAGCTTGGGAGGAAGACATTTACTGGAACCATTTTCAATTCATCAGTTTCACTCAATTTCTCCGCTCTGATTTTGATCAACAACTTGTTAGTATTCCTTTCATTGCATGCTTTCATTGCATGTCCATAATTGTTTTTTTCTTCTCATTTTAAATATTTTTTAACCTTGTTTTCACATTATTTTGGCCTACATAATATAAAGGTGTTGATCTGCTTTAAAATAGTGAGTGAGGATTTGTGAGATTAGGTGTTGATCTGCTTTGTGTTTGTTTTTGTGACACTTTGTTTTGGCCTACATTGCTATAGATGAAGCATGCATTTTCATTTTAGGTTCTTATCATGCATGCATCGTGGTAGAGTCATGCTTATGATTTGTGAGATAAGAAAGTGAATGAGGAAGGAGATTGATAGATTGTAATATGTTTGATCTTCGGTTGTTATTATGACTATTTAAATAGTATACTTGAAATTATTAATTGATGTTTTTCAATGAGATAGTTATGATCTGTGTAGTACTAACACTTCTAATTGAAGGTGTCTTTAGTGTCTGACACGCACCAACATTTTTGATTGAAGGTATGTTTAAATTGAAAGTGTGTTCATTGTCTGACACGCACCAACACTTATGATTGAAGGTGTGTTTAGATTGAATGTGTCTTTAGTGTCTAAGATGTTTGGTGTTTGACACGTATGGATGTCTGGGTGGGTGTCTTGACACATCGGCATGACACCACCACATTTGATTACTGATACTTTCTAAAGTTATTACTAGTGTGGACACGTTGGTGTTAGTGCGATGTTAGTGTTGTGTCCAGTGTTTTATGTTGGTTGGCCTTCATAGGCATGTAGTCTACCACGAGATATCTCTATGCGGCTCAAGCTAATCCTATTATATTCTGAAATAGGAATTTATTTTTTGTTTTCAGGCACTTCCTAAAACATTTTCTGAGAATATAAAGAAGAAATTGCCAGAGAGCGTGACGCTAAAAGGTCCTGGTGGAGTACTGTGGAATATAGAGCTGACAACAAGAGAAGATACCTTGTACTTCACGTACGGTTGGCAACAGTTTGTGAAAGAACACTCTTTGAAAGAAAATGATTTCCTTGTCTTTAAGTACAACGGTGAATCGTTGTTTGAAGTTTTAATCTTTGATGGCAAGAGTTTATGTGAGAAGGCAGCTTGTTATTTTGTTCGAAAATTTCAGCCTGCTGCCAATACTGAACAAGGGGGTGGATGTTCTACCAAGAAAAGGGACTCAGATAATTCTGTTGAAGAAGTTAAAACTCCTAATGGTGTTGATGAAGGTGTTTCACCTGTCAAATCCTTGCATCCTAACAGTACCCGAGTGCCACATGATGTACCTATCGAAACTACTAATGGCAAGACTTCTAATGCTGGTGTTGAACCTGCTTCCGCAGAGCAATTCATGTCTGATGCGGTCACTGATACTGAGCCAAAAACTGTTCCATCCCAAACAACTGGTAAACGGACAAGGAGGAGGCCTGTTTATGCCGATATGTCTGTCCCGAGTAAGAAGAGAGGAAGACCACCAAAAACTGCTAATTCTCACGAGAGAGCTCGTAATTGTGTGTCTGGTAACATTTTTACTTTTATCAATTAGAGAAAGCAACAAAGAAACACTTGTGGTAAAATTGATGCACTGATCACATAGTTTTAACCATTATGAATGTCGATGTATCACTTTCGTGTTCGGTATCTGCATGTGTCAGTTTTCATGGTTTTTCTGAGTATTTCTCTTTTAATCAATACATGTACTGGTTGTTGATGTGGTAACTTATTTTGATCATTTTTTAAGGGGCTGAACTTTCTCCCAAGGTTTCTCCAAAGGTCTCTCCCAAGGATTCTCCAAAGGTCTCTCCCAAGGTCTCTCCAAAGGTCGGATTGGGAACCAAAGAACTATATAGTTCAAATAGAAGGCCTGTCACAAAAAATGAGATTGAAAACACTCTTCAGTTGGCCAAGGCAGCATGTGCCGAAGACACCTTGCTTGTAACTATGCGACCTACGCATGTATACAAGAGATTCTTCGTGGTAAACTACATCCTCCCTTTCTTTCCTTTTTAAACCTGGTTGTGAATTTTCTTAACTTTCTGCGTATTATACAATGCATACGTTGATACTAATTGTATTTATTTGCAACTAGTCATTCCCTAATAAGTGGATAATAAATCATCTTTCTCCGTCATCTCAAGATGTGATATTACGCATGGGGAAGAGAGAATGGATTGGGAAATACTTCTATTATAATACGCGTAGCAGTGGAGGACTTACCGGTGGATGGAAATATTTTGCGCTCCAAAATAACCTTGAAGAGTTTGATGTGTGTTTGTTTAAGCCTGCAGGTTATATGTACAAAACGTTGATCTTAGAAATGACCATTTTTAGAGTTGTTGAGGAGATTACTCCTCTTACTAAGGTTAATTCTCCGGGAAAGAAGAGATCAATTAAGAAAACACCAACCGGGGTGAATTCTCCAGGAAAGAAGAGTAAGAAAACACCAACTGGGGTGAATTCTCCGGAAAAAAAGGGGCCAATTAAGAAAACACCAACACCAACCGAGGTGATTTCTCCGAGAAAGAAGAGGTCAATTAAGAAAAGACCAACCGGTGATGTCCAAACAGAACTCGAGTCCTTTGAACCACTAGTAAAGAAGAGGGGAGTTGATATAACACTGACCAGTGCTGTCCAAACAGAACTCGACTCCATCGAAGGTGCGTAGTTGTATCGTCCGAAGAACGTTTCATCGCTAGAATTATGCAATAGTATATGTTAACATTTGTGTTATGGCATGTAATATGTATGTGTTTGTATTTTGTATATTATGTTGGATTGTTCAACTTGTTTAATCTTCTGTATCTACCTAGGTAATTCACATATGTAAACTTTTGATTGCAACAGCTAGACTTTTTAAGGCTCAAGTTTGAATTGATCTATCTACCGTCATGTTGATATATTGTTCAAGGTATTGCTAGTGTATTATTCTCTCTTTAAATGAGCAGTTGTTAATATTGGTTCATCAATATATATTTTTTATATCAAACTAAATCAAATAGAACTTAATATTTAAAACCTGCATATATAACAGTTGTATGAAAATATTATGCAGAATCACAATAGTAATTAATCTGTAATTCTAAACAACTTTCAAAGTAGCACAATTAAGTCTGTCATTTGCCAACATTGTAACTCTTTACAATAACAACTTATAACAACTAAACTCTAGCTTGTGTTTTAAAAGCTGAACCGGAGGTTGAATCAAGGTCCAATCGACAAGACTTTGACTTTAAAATTGAATTGGTTTAACTGATTAAACTTATGATCAAACCGTTTAATAAATAAATAAGTTATTAATATTAAGATAATTAATATTGGAATTATAGACATGGCCTTTCTATTTATTTATCATTGTTAAAGTATAACAAGTGTGAATAGTATGGGTAATAGTTTTACATTGGTTAGAAATGTAGAGATTTGAATCTTTATAAGTGGAAGAATCCCTATTACTTTAAGGTTTTTGGTGAACATGTGGTGTCTCTCTCACTTATATTGCTCTTGGTTCAATATTAATGTTTGGGTCCTCAGAGTTATTTTCAGAAAATATTGTCACTAAACATACATGTGCTCTTTTCTTGTCTCAAAGGAAGAGAAATTATAGAACGAGCAGGCAGGTCCTCACGGGCTGGAGAATCCTTCCCCTCTGGCTCTCTATGATTATACCACAGATCCTGGCGACCATATAGAGAATATTAAGGTCATGCTGCATTACCACAATGTAAATGGAGCGATCAAATGCAGGATGTTCCCCATCACCCTTAGAAAGGGGTCTATGGCCTAGTATAAGAATCTTCCCCGGGGCTCGATCACCTCGTGAAGGAGCTTGAAAGATCAGTTTTCCCGATATTTCGCCGCCTCTAGGCATCACCCGAAGTCTGAAACCATGATCGAAGGCATAATACAAGGCAAAGATGAGCCCCTATGTGACTACATCGAGAGGTTTAACAAGGAATCAGTCGAGATCTGTATGACTGAACACATGAAGAAATACCTTATAGAAAAGGGACTAAGGCCGAAGAGTGATTTCTGCAAAGCAGTGGGGATCGAACCGCCTCGTTCTCTGGCCTAACACCTCCGTAAGGCACAATCTTACGTCCAATACGAGGAAAAATAAGCCGCGTACAAAGCCATAGACTCTAAGGACCAAGAGAATTCCAGAGCATCAAAAAAGGATGAGGCAGAAGCTCCTCGGCGCGACAGAGAAAGGCAACGAGGTAATTGTCCCCGAGATCATAAAGGACCTGATGGTCACTTTACTAAATATACCCTGCTAATAGCTCCCTACGAGCGTATCAACACCGAGTTCAATCAAGGAGGGGTACGATTCCCTAAACCGACAACATCAAAGGGCAACACCGACTGAAGCAAGTATTGTCGCTTTCATTGCAGTTGTTGCACCCTAAAATTTGTCTGCCCTTTTTCTAGCTTTGACTGGCTTTTGCTTTGCATTTCATCTGCATATCATCTAGGTCGATCATTTCTCGCATATTGCCCATGTTATTAGCCGGATTGAATTTATTGGGATTTCAACCGTTTTTCTTGCATTTTAGACGATTTAAACCAATTCAAATGAGAAGTTCCATGTTGAAATCGAGCGAAAGTTGCTCTCTTACTGGTGGTTCAGTCCGTGCTGATTATTTGGTGCATTTCGATGTTCATTCTTTTTTCCATTCTTTTTCGCTGCATTTTTGTGATTTTATTCCTATTTTTGCTTTTTATAGAATTAATTAAATTAGGAATTAGATTTTTAGTTAGAAATAATTTTTTTTAGAAATATAATAGAAAATAGTTTTTGTTAGAATTTTAATATAGTTTTTAAATAGAAATAGAATTTTTATTTAGTTAGAAATAGTTTTAGATTTAATTAGAGGTTAGAAGTTAATTTGGATTAGAATAGAATCAAGTATTATTTAATTAAGATTAGTTAGGGTTAATTTAATTTAGTTTTAATTATTAAATTAGGAGTAGATTTAATTAGATTATCATTAGTTAGAATATTAGTTATATTTAGTTATTAGAATGTTAGAATGATTATAGTGTTATTAAACTAATTAATTAACAGCATTATTGAACTTTGATCAGGATTAACAGTCAAAACATGTTGCCACGTGTCGCATAGCTGGTATATATAGCACTGTTTGTCTCCCTCCTCAGACCAAGAAACCTCGCCGCTATTGTTCATTTCTTCATCCATTTCTCTTCATCCGCAAATCCGACCTCCATCCACCGTTTTCCGACCCCATTTCCTCCATTTCCGTTTGAGACCTCACAAACATCTCCAAACATCATCATCCAAAACCCATTTCCACTTCCTTCACCACCTTCCACCATTTTCGCCATCTTCATTGTTCTTCAAAACCAAACAAAAAGCCATTTTTCTTCATCGAACCAACCCCAACCTCTACCCTCTCCCTCTTCAACTTTCGTCCAAAACCCTCCATCAACCAACTCATGGCGGAGAACATCTCAAACTCCCAAACGAAATCAACACAACCACCCTTAAACCCATCCGCGAACCTTCGAAACACGCTGTCATAAATTTCCTCTCTTCAAAAAAACCAACAAAACCACCCTCGTCCTCCATTAACAACCATTAACAAACCTCAACATTTTCTTCAACCAAAACCCACTCACGAAACCTTCATCTCCTTCAACCGAAAACCAAACCCACTTCTTCATCTTCTCCGTTAACCAATGTTCAACCCATTTCCGGACACTCATCTCTTCCAAATCCAACTGAAACACTATCCTAAAATCCATCTAGAAACATATAACAACCCTTCACATGCCTAAACCAAACTAAAAACAGAAATGGAGGTAAGAGGAAGAATTTTGGAAGCGAACAAAAACGGAGAGAGGTTGAGTTGATGATGAACTGAGAGTGAAAGAGAGAGGTGACATGAGCAGTTCCCATTGTTGCAATTTGGAAGGAAAAGAGGATTAACTTGTTTTTTTAAAACTTTATCTATTTTGCTGACTGTTGACTTGGGCCGCAAAGCCCATATGTTTATAGCCCATCGTGTTTTCATTTCCAGCATCCTTCTTGTTCTATTATGTCCCCCTTTTTATTTTCTTTTAAAATGTAATTTATTTTAGTTTTAAAAAATAGTTTCTAAATTTATGTATATATTTTTTAAATCTAACTTTCTAGAAAACTTTATAAATATTTTCTTTTTATTTTAAGTTTTAGAGTTTATATATTTTAGAGATTAGATTTTATTTCTTATTCATCATTGAGCATTTTATTATGTATTTCCTCTTTTTGGGTTGATGAAGAGATCTCTATTGTTTTTCTGTCAAATTATTGATGAAAAACGATAGATTTGAGACCGACTTTTCTCTTCTCCGTTCCATTTTCGATCTTTTTCATCTTTATTTCACTTTTATCGTTTTTTGGTCGATGACGAGACCTCCAAGTTGTTTTTCAGTCAAATTATTGATGAAAAACGATGGATCCGAGACCACTTTCTTTCTCCTTTCTATTTTCGACCATTTTTTCATCTTTGTTCATTTTCACCGTTTTGGCTCGATGTCGAGACCTCCAAGTTGTTATATGTCAAATTATTGATGGAAACGACAAGTCCGAGACCATTTTTGTTTCTCCTTTTCATTTTCGACCTTATTTCATCTTTATTTCACTTTGACCGTTTTTCTTGGACGATGACGAGATTTCTGTAAACCGTTACTAGTCAAATTATTGATGAATAATGTTGGATCCGAGACCACCTCCTTTCTTTCCTCATTTCTTCTTCTTTTCGATTTTATCTTGAATTTCCTCTATCGATGAAGTCTTGTATCCGTAAGCATCAGATTTATCGGAGTTGATAACCTTCCCGATTTCAAATCTATGGAAAATGACCATTTGGGTAATTTTCTTTACTTTGGGATCGCGATAGGCTACCTTCGATTAATCAACATTATGTTTGCGATTAAGACGAGATCCCATTGTTTTTGGTCTGTGTGACACGATTAAATCGGAGAATGATCCTCAATATCATTTCTCTATCTTGTCCTTAGCACGGATATCAAGTACGCGACCTCTTATAGTTTGACTTCTCTCATAAGTCGAGCTACGATGGTTTAGCGTCACATTGGTCTCAATTCGATTCATTAACACCGTTGGACTTTAATTTAACTCGTAACTGCGATGAGTGTTGTGAGTCAAGCGTTAGATACGTAGGAAATGATGAGTGGGGAGCCTCTCCTTTCTCGTCTAGAGTGTTTAGCATATGCCATTTGGGCAATATGCGACACATTCGCTCCTACGTCTTAGGATTTAGCATTCTGCATCTCCGAACCGTTCCGGTTCCCTTTCGTTTAGGCATTCCAGGCCTATGCCCCTTTTCTCTCGCCTCCGTGCGATCGAGACTCCTTTTCTCTCGCCCCCGTGTGATCGAGACCCCTTTTCTCTCGCCCCCGTGCGATCGAGACCCCTTTTCTCTCACCTCCGTGCAGTTGAGACTCCTTTTCTCTCGCTTCCGTGCGATCGATATTCTTTTTCTTTCGCACCCGTGCATCGAGACCCGCTTTCCGTAGTTGGCCGAACTGCTGCTGCTTTGATTCTTCATTCCCTAATGAAGATACGTAGGCACGAGGATCCCTATCCTTGACGAGCACACTAACAACTAACTTCCCCTTTCTCTTGCCCCCGTGTGATCGAGACTA